CCTAATATTCTGTGATTCTGTGAAAATGCTTCAGGTAGATTGAAGGCACTAGAAAACACTTTTAAAAAATTCTCAGAGTCATTATTCTGTTGTCCACAATCCTACAGCATAACACTGCAAAGCCACCAGCAGAGTCATCCTAATGACCAAGTTTAGGACCAAGAAGGAATCTTCTTAGCTTTCCTTACCCTGCTTACAGCCAAACTCTCAGGAGTTGTAGGGATCACAGCTTTTCCAAATGGGGTGGTGCTCCCCAGCTGGTAATATCATCTGGACATCTCTTACCTAGTTGGGTCCTTGAGGTGACGTAGGAGCAGGTGGTATGTTGGCTCCCTGGTCTGTGTCTGCAGCCTATGAGAGATTAATCTCCTAAACACTAAAGCTGTTTTTATGTAAATTCAGCCTTCAGCTATCCAGATGATGCGAAGGTTAACATTATATAGGCTGTTGGACTGTCTTCCATGTTAAGTCCCTGCTGGTGTGAAACTCTTTTCAGTTATCTGAGACTGCAAGTGAGCACGGCTGCTTTGTTACCAGCATCATTGCTTGATTAAAAACAAGAACACAGGTGCTGTAGCAGCAGCTAATTAAACTTAATTCCATTGCATTGGCTGGACTTAACTGGAGAGGCCATGTTGGGAGGCTGTGAAGGTTTTTATTTCCCTTAGTTTACAGGAGTCAACTTTCTCTCCACTAATTTCTTGGTTTGTTTTTTTTTTCTTCCCTTTACCCTCCCCCACCTTCTGCCTCAGGCACCAGCATACAGCTGGTACCACAAAACCTGAAGGAAGGTAGAGCTGAAGTTCCCCTCCTAATAAAGGATTTCCAAGGGGTCAGCTGTGCTCAGACACAGTCCCTGCAACTGACTGTTTGTGGCTGTGCGGAAGAAGGCATCTGCAAAGAGAAGGTTATAGGCACTAAGTCAGTGGGCCTGGGACCAGGAGCAGTTGCACTAATCATCTTGGCATTTCTACTTTTGCTGCGTAAGTAATTGTTTCATATTATCTGGTAAATATGGTCTGCAAGGCATCAGGAAAGGAACAGTCTGGCTCCCAGGTTTTATTATCTTGATATACTGTGTGTAAACTCCTAGTCTGTGTGAAGCCATGGCAGCTCACCAACTAATTTTGGTAGCATCAGCATTTCACCCTCAAAGGGTTTCAAGCTGTGCATTTTGAAATTAAGTACAACTTTAATATTTGTTTATGGTGCCGCAAATAACAAGTGGGGAAAGCAGTAAGGAATCCTTTTGGTGTTTCTCACACCTCCCCATGTTAACTCTTAAGTCTTTCCACTTAAACCACAGCATGGTTTCCACTCTCTTCTCCTTCACCCCACACCCAGATCTGGTGCATTGCTCTTTGGTGAGACAAAACAGAAGCCTGAAAATAAGAGAAGAATGCTTGTAGTCAGGGTATGGCGATGTGTCCCAGTGCTGCATTTAAAAAGGCAGTAATTTATGGCTTGTACTAGCAGCAATGTAGCTGTGGCAAAACAAAGTTCATGCCATGCAAATATGCTCTGCACCTGAAGCTGGGTTGTTTTGAATTCCCCAGGCAGTGCTCTGGACATGTCATAGGAGTGGTGAGGTGGAATTTACATCACACCATGTCCTTATCTAGTAGTAAAAGAACAGAAGTTAGAAATGCTGAGGTTGTACAGTGATATTTAGGGGTTGGGTTTGGTATATGACATCTTCAATAGAAGTATAGCTATATACATGCATGGTCATCTGCAGGATTGAGGCCCTGATGGGTAAATTGTCAGTTTACTCTCTAGGAAACCAACTTAGCGTAGGTTTCTAGGAAATACCTTGAATATTTGGGAACCTGCCTTCAGTCTTTATCAGCCCTCATACTGATCATTAGCTCATTAAAGATATATTTGGTATGGGAGCTGGCCAGACTTCAGTACTGGTTGCTGGCATGCTTTGACCCTAATCATCTCATAGTTAATGGCAAACTTCTGTTTCCCCGTAGTTATTCCACTGTTGCTGCTGCTGTGTCCCTGTGGTTCAGGAGCAAAGGGATTTGCCGGGATACCAGACTACAGCGAAGCGATGTTGCGTCAGTGGAACAGCGAAGGAGCAGCTCCCGAGGAGAAGGCATGTATCCCTAATAGCATTTCTCTTTGATTTCTATCCAAGTGTGCAGTTTCCACATTGCAAGCTGATTTTAAAGCTGTACAGCAGATTTTAACCGCACATGAACATTAATTAAAATTAACCCAGTGAGGCTCAGTGAAGGATGCATGGAAGATGAATTCTACCAGCAGTTCTAGAAAAACCAACTGTGGTATTTAAATCCCAAAGTAAAGGGAAAGCAATCAAGCAAATGTTGATGGTATCTGAGCAGGAGATAGGAGTATGGGAAAAGCATTGGTGCTCTAAAGAGTGAATAATTTGCATTTGCAAGCCTGGAATGTTCTGCACCCCTTTGGGAACCTGGTAAAGCAGTGAAAGAATGGGTTATAAAGCTTAGCTTCTCCTTACTGTTTTGAAGTTTCGGGCTGCATATTTAATTACTTCCCTGTGTATTTGCCTTCTTAAACAGAGAAAATTCTTAGTTAAAAAAAAAAAGTCAGAAAAAAAGTGCAAATCTGAAGAGGGAACAGTGAATGCCAAGAAACGTTTGCCTTTTTTTGTTATGCTACAAAATCCAGTTTTCAAAAAAAGGACATGACACTTGCATGCTTTTGCACAACAACAAAGACACAGAAGTAAGGAAAAAGACTTTGATTTAGGACCAATGCCTACACCAAATTCTTGTTAAAATACAATTAACAGGAAGCCAAATTATTTGAAAAAAAAAAAAAGAAAGGGCCAGGCAGTACCATAGAGGAAGCAGACAGTATGCACTCCCCCCATTTTGGAGAGAGCTCAGCAGACACTCTCTTGGAACAGCTGAGCTCCCTGGAGTTTCGCAAGCCTTTTTTTGATGATTTGATTTGGGCTTTTTTCCCTGCTTTCACTCCCAACCCTTTGATTTTCAAGAGAACACTGATTTATAGAAACATTTCCATGATCCTCCTTGGGAATGCAGTTGTGGAAGCTGCACCCTTGAAATAGGCCTTTTACTCTTTGCAGCAACATGTATAAGTGCAAATTCAAACAAGTAATAAGACAGTACCCTCCCAGGTCCCACCCAGCCCTGCTGCTGGTTTGGTGAGTTCTATGTGCACGGCTTTCATGTCACATCCTAATTTGTGTTACTTATGTAGCCTGTGCTAAGCCTCATCCCATCCACTGCACTGGCAAGCTCAAGAGGTGTGACCAGCGGAGCAGCAACAGCAGCATTAGCAGCAGCA